GTCAAGCATCTCTAGACCCACCTGGGCGACGAACAGCGATTTTACGCGGTGGCTTCTGCGGGCCGCCGGGGCGGCAAGCCACACTGGAAACGAGGGCGCTTGCGCGCGACCTTGTGCGGGGAGCTTACGCGCCAATCTCGGCGCAGACGGCACCCTTTTTCTGCGTCGTTCCTTTGTTTCGTGGCGACGAACGGAGGACGACGACGACAACGACGACGACGACCACGACGACCACGACGACCATGACGACGACGACGACGACGACGCCGAGGCCGAGGCCGACGACGACGACGACAAAGGCGGCGGCGGCGACGGCAGCGGCGGCAGGGTGGTCCTTCTCCTGCAGGCCACGCCGAGCCCGCCCCAAAACCTCGTGCGCGAGGGCGCGAGTGGCGCGGGGGCACCGCCGACCCCTCCTCCTCCTCCGTCCTCGGTCCTCCTCTGCCCCCGTCCTCCTCAATCCTCCATCCGCCGTCCTCATGCTCCTCCTCCTCTGGCTTCCTCCGTCTGCTCCCTTCCCTCCTCCGTCCTCCTCCTCTGTCCTCCTCCTCCATCCTCCTCCTCCTCCTCCTCCTCCTCCTCCTCCTCCTCCTCCGCCCTCCTCCGTCCTCCGTCCTCCGTCCACCACCTCCTCCTCCTCCCTCTCCTCCTCCTCCCTCCTCCTCCTCCTCCCTCCTCCTCCTCCTCCTCCTCCTCCTCCTCCTCCTCCTCCTCCCTCCTCCTCCTCTGGTCTCCTCCGTCTGCTCCTTTCCCCCGCGGGTCGCTTTCAAGATGTGGCTCTCGCACTAGCGCTGCGCACATTCGTCGGCTTCACGGATGGAGTCCGGGTGGCTTTCACGGATGGAGGCTGGGTGGCTTTCAAAATGTTGGTCTCGCCTTAGCGCCGAGCGCAGTCGTCGTAAACATCTGCAAGATCTTCACGGATGGAGGGCGGGCCGATTTCACGATGTGGCTCTCGCCTTAGCGCTGCGAGCATTCGTCTTGAACATTTGCAAGAGCTTCTCGGATGGAGGGCGGTTCCTTTTCGGGATGTGGGTCTCGCCTTTAGCGCCGCGCGCATTCGTTTCAGGGTTTTGCAGCAGTTTCAAGGATTCTCGCGCGAACGCTCCAGAGACGGTGTCTTGGCACGGGGTCGGAATGCTAGGGCTCAACAGTCACGCGGATTCTTTCTTAGCTCCCGTGCATGGACATTATATTCGAACCCTGTGGCCCAAGATGCCCCCCCGACCCCCCGAACTTAATATTGATGGCGTGGCGACGGGTGGACAGAACTATTCGAACCCCAAAGCACCGCCTTTACTGAGATCAACATTGATGTCGGGGGCGCGGGGGTGATTTAGAATCTCCCTCGAATGTGTGAGGGTTCGAATATATTGTCCATCTACTGTCCAGCCTGCCTGTGACGCCGTCCGCCTCTTCCACCGCGCTGATGGCGTCCGCTCTGGCCGCCGCCAACGCCGCATATCCCGGCGCGGCCTTCAGGCCGCCCCTTGCACCCCAAACCACTGCTGCGGTCCCGTGGCCTGCCCTGCCTGCTCGCATCGGGGCTCCGCCCTCCTCTCGGGAGGAGGAGGAGGAGAAGGAGGAGGAGGAGGAGGAGGAGGAGGAGGAGGAGGAGGAGGAGGAGGAGGGAGGAGGAGGAGGAGGATGAGGATGAGGATGAGGATGATGATGAGGATGTGATGATGATGATGATGATGATGATGATGATGATGAGGAGGAGGAGGAGGAGGAGGAGGAGGAGGAGGAGGAGGAGGAGGAGGGCGGAGGAGGAGGAGGAGGAGGAGGAGGAGGGCGGAGGAGGAGGAGGAGGAGGAGGAGGAGGAGGAGGAGGAGGGGCCTGCCCACCCAGAGAGAGGCCGCCTGCCCGCACCTCGTGCCTCCGCCAAGGGGCACTCCAGGTGAGCACGCGAGATGCCACGGCGACTCTACGCTTAGGTCGGGCCTGTCCCCCTACAGGGGGATTTTGGACGAAAATTTTAAAATACCCCCAAAAGACATCCAAAATGCTCAAAAAAATAATCAAGCATTGTCACCAGACTATGTCTTGACTATTTTTGAACATTCCTCCTGTAGAAGGGCAGGCCCGACTCAACTCTACGCCGCGGCGGACGCGGGCCGCCGGCGCGGCACGCCACCTTGGAAACGAGGGCGCTCACGCGCGACATTGCGCGGGCAGCCTACGCGCCAGTGTCGGTGAAGACGGCCCCGTTTTCTCCTGCGTCGCCGAGGGGGTGCCCGCTTCGCGCCGCCCGCTTCGCTCGCTGCACAGCTGCGCCGCACTGTGGTCGCCTGCCGGTTGTCACCAGCTTTGTCGTGCGCCCCCCCCGTCGGTCACGCGCCAAGGACGCTTTGGGCTCTCGTCCCTCAATGTTCTGTTCCCGACGCCGGGCGGAGTCAAGTGTGGGTTGCCGCTGGCAGGCCGGCGCCCGGAGGGACCCCGTCCGCACTCGGTCTCTCTCTCTCTCTCTTTCTCTCTCTATCTCTCTCTTTCTCTCCCTCCATCCCTCTCCTTCTCTCTCTCTCTCTTTTCCCTCTCTCTCTCTCCCCCCTCTGTCTCTTCAGCGAAATAATATTAACATATCACATGTCAGGACCAGAGGGCTGGAAGGAGAGGCGGAGCAGAAAAGGAAGACGATGATAAAAAGGAGGGGGGAAGGTGACGAGGAGGAAGAAGAAGAGGAGGAAGAAGCGGAAGAAGAGGAGGAGAAACCTTGACTCAAGACGCCGTGATTTTGCCACATGGGCCCCTAAATCATGTCTCGACCCTTTCCTTGGGGCGTTTCCCGAACCCGCATTTTTTACTGACGCCCCCTGGGGCCCCCCAAAAGGCTTCTCCTTTCTGGAAGCTGGCAGCGGCGACACACCTTCTGTCGTGACTTGTCGAGCGTGGAGGGAAGAGGACGGGGGAGGGGTGGGGGGGGGGCGGGACCGAGGTGGGTGGGCGGGGCCGAGGAGGGAAGAAGGGGGCGGAATGGGAGACCCTCCTCCTCCTCCTCCGCCCTTCTCCTCCTCCCCCTCCCTCCTCCTCCCCCTCCTCTCCTCCTCCTCCTCCTCCCTCCTCTCCTCCTCCTCCTCCTCCTCCTCCTACTCCTTATCCTTATTACTCCTACTCCCCCCTCAGGCCGGCAGATAGGGGCCGCATCCGGGTGGTCCCATCCTAACCTGTAAAAAACAATACAAAATCAACATTTTTTATTTTTTCCTCTCGACATGGACGTCCTGTCGTCCACGGCGATAATCCATTGCAAAAAATACCACAAAGAGCACACGCGCGCGTTCATGTCAGAATCCTACCGAACACCGTGTGTTTGCAAGCATTTCAACATAAAAACATCAAAAACCCAATGTTTTTTTTCACAAAAAATTGTACAAATTTCCCGCCCGGGCTCTCTTGCTGAAATCATAGGAAAACCATAGGAATCTTAAGAATTCTGTCAAATCCAGCGATTTCACGTCATCGCGCGGTGCACTCGCGATGCTCTGTCATGCACCCAGGCCGCGAATCCTGTGCAAAAAATACCACAAAGAGCACACTCGCGCGTTCATGTCAGAATCCTACCGAACACCGTGTGTTTGCAAGCATTTCAACATAAAAACATCAAAAACCCAATGCTTTTTCACAAAAATGCTTTGGGGTGTCCTGTCAGACCGTCGGGCTTCCTCCGGCCACCTCTGGCTTCCTGCGGTGTACCGGGCCATTCTCGACTCGTCTGGCAATGCGTGCGCGGCATTCAACACGCGCTCGCCAGTTCCCGTCGGCAACCGCCATCGCGGCCGCATCAGCTGTACCAAACCGGCTGGCCGGTGTGACTTCGGCCCCCAGTTGTGCCAGCTTTGCTTCTTATGTTGTGGGAGGGCGGGTGGGACTGGGCATGCCATGCTTGACTCGCTCGAGCTGGCTAGCTTGACTCCTATCCTTATTCCTTATTAGAATATACTCCTACTCCCCCCTCAGGCCGGCCATTAGGGGCCGCATCCGGGGGGTCCCATCCTAACCTGTAAAAAACAATACAAAATCAACATTTTTCTTATTTTTTCCTCTCGACATGGACGTCCTGTCGTCCACGGCGATAATCCATTGCAAAAAATACCACAAAGAGCACACGCGCGCGTTCATGTCAGAATCCTACCGAACACCGTGTGTTTGCAAGCATTTCAACATAAAAACATCAAAAACCCAATGCTTTTTCACAAAAATTGTACAAATTTCCCGCCCGGGCTCTCTTGCTGAAATCATAGGAAAACCATAGGAATCTTAAGAATTCGGTCAAATCCAGCGATTTCACGTCATCGCGCGGTGCACTCGCGATGCTCTGTCATGCACCCAGGCCGCGAATCCTGTGCAAAAAATACCACAAAGAGCACACTCGCGCGTTCATGTCAGAATCCTACCGAACACCGTGTGTTTGCAAGCATTTCAACATAAAAACATCAAAAACCCAATGCTTTTTCACAAAAATGCTTTGGGGTGTCCTGTCAGACCGTCGGGCTTCCTCCGGCCACCTCTGGCTTCCTGCGGTGTACCGGGCCATTCTCGACTCGTCTGGCAATGCGTGCGCGGCATTCAACACGCGCTCGCCAGTTCCCGTCGGCAACCGCCATCGCGGCCGCATCAGCTGTACCAAACCGGCTGGCCGGTGTGACTTCGGCCCCCAGTTGTGCCAGCTTTGCTTCTTATGTTGTGGGAGGGCGGGTGGGACTGGGCATGCCATGCTTGACTCGCTCGAGCTGGCTAGCTTGACTCCTACTCCTACTCCTACTCCTACTCCTCCTCCCTCCCTCCCTCCCTCCCTCCCTCCCTCCTGGAGGCATGAAGGACCAGGAAGGAGGAGGAGGACGGGGCGGACCACGACGGCGTGCAGGCGAGGGCGGGGAGGGGCACCTCCAGAGGCCAGGCCTGCGCGGCGTGGCCGGGCCCGGCGGGGCCGTCCCCTCCCGCAGGGGCGCGCGGCGCAGAGAGGAGCGGGTTGGCGCAGGGGCTCGGGCCCGCCTGCGGGTCAGGAGAAGTTTGCGCCGCCGCCTGCGGGCGAGGGGGCGGGGGGAGTGAGCAGGAGGAGAGAGACGAGGAAGAAGGGGAGGATGAGGAGACTATGCTGATGATGATGCTGCTGATGATGATGCTGATGATGATGATGCTGCTGATGCTGATGATGATGATGATGTTGACGATGCTGATGCTGATGCTGATGATGCTGATGCTGATGCTGATGATGCTGCTGATGCTGATGATGGTGATGATGATGATGGTGATGATCCTGCTGATGATGCTGCTGATGATGGTAATGACGATGGTGATGATCCTGATGAGGATGAGGATGATGATGCTGCTGATGCTGCTGCTGCTGCTGATGATTATAATGCTGATGATGATGAAGAAGAAGAGGAGGGGGGGAGCTGGAGGAGGAGGAAGAGGAGGAGGAGGACGAGGAGGAGGAGGATGAGGACGAGAAGGAGGAGGAGGAAGAGGAAGTGGAGGAGGAGGAGGCGGAGGAGGAGGACGGGGAGGACGAAGAGGGCGAGGAGGAATAGGATAACGGAGAAGAGGAGAAATAAGGACGGGAGGATGATGATTACTTTTTGCTGTTGCTCCTGCGGGCGTGCGCCGACAAGCAAGTACCCGAGCAATCATTCCACCTCTGGGGAATCAGTCCGCCCTTGGGCGGCAAACCTCGGGACAGCCACGTCCGCGCTCCCAAATCCGTTTTCGTAGCTCCCTGTAGAGGGCAACGACCAGCGAACAGTAGTGCCGTGGCAACAGTGGACACTCAGGCAACGGTGAGTCGGAGGGATGCGAGGGGAGGGGTAGGAAGGGGAGGTGGAAGCGGTCAGGAACGAAGGGTGAGAAGTGGGAGGAGGATGAGGAGGCGAAGGGGAAGAAGAGGAGGGGGGCTGCTGGGCGGAGGAGGGGGATGGGAGGAAGGCAGGGACACTGCACCGTGCACGCATCAAGTCACCTGCGGTGGAGCTGCGTCGTACAACGTGCAGCCGCGTCCGTTGGCTTTGTGCGGATGGCGGCATCCAGCCTCGCGTCACAACGCAATCGAATTCGCGATGGGCATCGAGCATGCATCCGTGTGCCTCCCACCTTCGCGGCACGGGGTCCGAGCAGGCCGCTGGCCCCCCTTGCACCACCGCCGTGCAGCGAGCGGGAGCTCCACGGCGGGCTCACCGCACGGCGCCTCCGCTGACCGCCTGGTCCCAGCAGTCGAGCCACTTCTCGGGCGACTTGAAGTGGTGGAAGGCGGCGGCCTCGAAGGCGCGGCAGTCCACCCCGCGGCAGTTGACGTCCTGCAGCAGGCCGTAGTCGGCGGCCGGCTCCGCACCGAGGAGCGCCAGGCACTTGTGGAGGAAGAGGTCCTCGCCGAGCGTCTGCCAGGGCAGCTCTCGCCGGCACCGCTCCTCCCCTCCTGGTGGCGGCGCGCACGAGGGGTGAGGGGGAGGAGGGGGAGCTGCTTCCTCGGAGGGGGCTGCTTCTGGGAACGCGCCGAGGCCCGCGCCCTCTAAAGAGGCAGGGGTGCTTCTGAGAAGCCTTGCCCTCTTCCCCTATACTCCCCTCTGCGCGCGGCTGATCCTAGCCACGTGTCCACAGCCTCCCTCGAGAGGATCTCGATGGAGCCGATCATCATCGGGTAGTCTGGCGAGTCGGGCCAGCGGTCCCGCAGGTCGCAGTTCGGTACGAACTTGTTGCCGCGCAGCCCCTCCAGCCGGGCCCGCAGGCGGTGTGCGACCAGCACTGTGTCCGGGTCGATCTTGATCGTGAAGTCGTAGTCCTTGTAGCGGCCGCCCTTGCCCACCGTGCGCCAGGCGTGCAGGAACGTCCCTACGTTTGCGGACGTGTTGTCCTTGGAGATGCCCGCATCCACCAGGTCGATGTGCGTGTCCACGACGGAGGCATCGTCGCCGAGGATCTCCGTGGAGTCGCAGCCGTAGATGCCCGCGTTCTGCTCCAACTGCACCTTCAGGTTCTCCACCTCCAGAAGAAGAAAGACCGCTATAAACATGAAATGTTGGCGCTCCGCGCGGATCCCTTGGGTCTGCGCCGGACCCCCCTCCCTGGCGCGCGGAGCGCGCCAGGGGCGGCGCCGGAGGCGGCGCCGGGGGGCCCAGCGCGGATCCAAGAAATCCGCGCGGAGCGCCCAAAGTTTTTGCGCTCATGCCGTGTTCTCATCCTCGAACAACCTCGTAAGTGCCAGCCCGCGCCACGACGAAGCAGTACATGGACGGGGAGCCCGGCGCCTTCTTCTCGGAGCGATTTCGCCCCTCCGCGCCCCTCCGGCGCCGGGCAGCCCCGGCGTGCTTTCCCGCCGGGGGCTCCTCGGTCGGCCCCGGGGCCGCGTTGACCGGGGGCGGCTTCGGCTTCGGGGCCCGGGCGGCTGTGGGCTTCGGCGACGGCGAGGCCGTTGAGTGCTGCTTCTGCTGCTTCTTCTTCTTCTTCGCAGTCCCGCTGGAGGCCACCGTCGCCGCCGAGGGATCGGCCGCGGGGTCGGCCTCTGCGCGCTTCTCCTTCCCAGTCTCGTTGGGTGGCACGGCAATCGCCGCGGGATCGGCCTTGGAGTGCTTCTCCCTCGCAGTCCTGTTGGACGGCCGCGGGGTCGGCGGCCGCGGGGTCGGCCGCGGGGTCGGCCGCGGGGTCGGCTGCGAAGTCGGCTGCGGGGATGGCCGTTGAGGTGCAACGGTGAGGATATCGACCTGGCCCTTGTCGGCGCCGACTGGCGCCGCGTACGCGTACAGGTCGTAAGGGGTGCCGATCAGGCACTTGCCCGCGTCCAGCTTGGTGCGGAGCAGGCACGGGCCCAGGTCTAGGCCGTTCAGGCGCTGCAGTCCCTCGCACCGCGGCGTCCGCTCGCACGCCGCCTGGCACGCCTCCAGGCGCAGGGCGTCGCCGAGGCCGTCGGGCTCGGGCAGCGCCTCGCCGCCCTGGGAGTCGACGCAGTTCAGGCCAGCGTGAAACGTCCACGCCTCGCGGCTCACGCCTTCGGCTGGCTTGTCCTCGGCCGCGACGGCCACGTCGCGGCTCGCCTCGGTGCCGGGGGCCTCCTTCGGTGTGGGCTGCTTCGTCCACAGGTCGTAGCCCGTGCCGGTCGCGCACTCGGACAGCGCGATGCGGGATCGGACCCAGCAGGGGCCGGGGTCCAGCCCATGGAGGGTCACGACGCCCTGGCAGCCGTCGTCGTCCTGGCACCAGCCCATGCAGCTGAACAGCGGCAGCGCGTCGTCCAGCATGTCCGCGGTGGGCATCACGTCGCCGCCCATGCCGGGATAGCAGTTGACGCCCTCGTGTTGCTGCAGCTGCACCTCCTCTGGACGAGCAGAAGGCTGTGTGTAAACATGACATTTCGGAGATCCGCGCGTATTGGATCCACGCTGGGCCGCGATGCCCGAGGCGCAGCCAGGGGGGGCCCAGCGCAGACCCAAGAACTCCCCGCGGACCTCCGAGAGTTGATGCCTCGAGTGGGAGATCGACTGCAGAACTGTTTCGCCCCAGGATGACTCCATGTGTACGGAAGGACAAACCTGGGGGTGACTCGGTCCTGTAGTCGAGCCCCTGCTCGACTCCTGCCGTCCCCTGCCCCTCGAGCCTCCGCGGAGACGGCCCGTGGGCCCCCCTTCGGGGCAAGCCGCGCGAGCCCCCGCCGCACGCACGGCGCCGTGGCACCTGGGGGTACCAGAAGGCACCGATGCCGCGACTCCTCGACTAGGGGATCGCCTGCGGAATGGATCTCCCCCAGAGGTGTTCTCTCTCGTCGGATCTGCGAGGTGCGAGCGTCGAATGCTCGTGCTTGTGCGAACATTCTGCGTTCGCAGCTCGCAGATCCGACGAGAGAGAGCAAATCTGGGGGAGATCAATTCTGCAGTCGGTCTGCTGCTCGCATGCCGCTGCTCCCCTGACCACTCTGGGAGTGCGTCCTGACCAGGGCGTCGAAGCGATCCCAGCGTTAGGTCGGGCGTGTCCTCCTACAGGCGCATTTTGGACGAAAAAGACGAAACACAAAACACATAGTTAAACAAAATACCCCCAAATAGTCACAAATAGTCAAAACATCGTCCCCAGACTATTCTTCTAAATTCCCCAATCAGAGCTTGCCTCTGTAGGTGTCCTAGCAGATTCATATGGTTAGGTGAAGTTCGTCGCCGATTTCGGTGGCCGGCCCGGGTGCCCGGGTGCCAGGGGGTGCCCAGGGGTGCCCGGGTGCCCTGGTGCCCAGGGGCGCCCGGAGGTGCCCAGGGGTGCCTGGATGCCCGGTAGCTCAATAGCCCTATAGCCCTATAGCCTTCTAGCCCTACAGCCTATAGCCAGATAGTCTTATGGCCCTATTAGCCTCATAGCCCTATAGCCCTACAGCCCTATGGCCCTGTGGCCCCATAGCCTTATATCCTTATAGCCCTATAGCCCTCTAGCCTGTAGGCCTATGGCCCCAGAGCCGTCTAACCCTATAGCCCTATGGCCCTATGGCCTTATAGCCTTGTAGCCCTATAGTCCTAAGGCCTATCGCCCTATAGCCCGAGAGCCTCGTAGCCCTACAACCCCATAGCCCTATAGCCCCAACAAAATATTGCGATTGGGACTTCTCTCCGGTATCCGTATTTTTGGAAGTTTTGAGAATTCCTCCTGCAGAGGGACAGGCCCGACTTGATCCCAGCGGTGGCGACGAGGGCCTCCAGGGCGGCCCCGCGAGGCGACCACGAGGCCAGGGCGGCAGCACCCCCCCCTCCTCGTCGGAGCACCGAGGGCAGCCAGGAGCAGCAGCGCCCCGAGCGCGCCGGCAGCGCCCCGCAAGCGGCGCGGGGCGCCCCGCGGCGGCGCCGCCGCCTTCGCGCACAGGGGCGCCTCGCTGCCAGAGGCGGCGCCGTCGGACGCCGTGCCCTCGGAGGCTGCGCGGTCGGCCTCCCGCCGGTCGTGCCGCCCCGGGCCGGCCTCACGCCAGAGTGAGCCCAGTGAGCATCGCGTGACCGACTGGGGGCCCTTTCCTTCACCCTCCATTACCGCCCACCCGCCCGCACTGTGCCCGCACTCGAGGTTTAGGTCGGGCACCCTCCCCCTACAGGCGGATTTTGGACGAAAAATGAATGATAGCCAGAAAATAATCCCAAACGGTCGGAACTGGTAAAAACTCGCCCCCAGACCATGTCTGGACAATTATTGAATATCCCTCCCGCAGAGGGACGTGCCCAACTTGTAACTCGAGGTCGCCCCAACGAAGAGGCCGCTCTGTCGCATGGCCGACCTCGGCGCCGCAGCACCCGCCGGCCATCCTGGGCCGCGCGTGGGGCGGGCGCCGCCGGCGGCTGGCGCTCGGCCGCGTGGAGCTCTAGGCGCCCATGGCCGGGGCCCGGGGGCGCCCCCCGCGCGCGGAGGTCGGCCGCCGGCCCCCGCGAGCCAGAACGGCTGCAGGCGCGGGTCGACGCCCTCCTCCTCCTCTTTCTCCGTCCTCCGTCCTCCTCCCTCCTCCTCCTCCTCCTCCTCCTCCTCCGTCCTCCTCCCTCTGGAGCCTCTGGAGCCTCGGAGCGCGTGTCCCGCAGCGCAAGACACACACAGACAAATTAAATTAGTGGGCGGGGAATGGCACTCCAACCTCCTTCTTGCTGGTTGGGTCCACACCGTTGCGCAGCAGCTTGAGTGAGCGCCCCGCACCACTGGATGGCCCTTGATTGCATCGCAGAGCCAAGTCTTTGACCTGCCTCCGCGCGTGACAGCCACAAGCCATGCAGAAGAACAGTTCACCATTGATACTCCGCATTCTGTGGGTATCGTGACACCTGGCCAGGACACGGGGCTTGCCTGGACAAGGGTCCTGCGCGACAACGCTTCTCTTCTTGGAGGCCCTGCCGCAAACTCTACACCCCCAGACCCCATCTTGAAGGTGGAGGAGGTGATCATTACCAGACCTATTCATCTTGAGAGCGACCACAGGCTGGGCCGCCCCAAGAGCAACAGGCTTACACTTACTCTTCTTGGGAATTTTATCCACATCAGGAAAACCGCTTTCGCGTAGCTTGCTCAAAGTCCCTCCAAGCAAACGAACAAACTGCCTACCTACATGCACGGCTGTTGCTAACCGCTGATCTACATGGGCCACAGAAGGGTGCCCCATAGCTCCTAGCTTCGCATATTTGTCGGCCGCGGCATTCCCAGGAAACCACTCATCGGGAAACCCATGGTTCCTATACCAGGTCCTGGACCGATGGGAAGGCATCCAAACCAAATCGACGTTTTCGCACCCGATGTCTTCGATTTTCCAGAAAATCTGCCTCCAGATCTCCCAGTGTGGCTGGGTCGGGCTACACTTTACCTCTGGGCCCTTCTCGAGGGCCAGCAGAAAGTTCTTGTGATCTGTCACGATCGTTGCTCTGGCGGGCATGAGGGTCAAGGCCATCAGGAACGCGTAGTGTTCGGCAAGACCTGAGGAATGAACCAAGCCTGGAACGGGACCGTAAGCGACAGCTTGGACCTCCTCCGTGCCAGGTCTGAGTGAGCATACCGACCACCCCGCCCTCGTCATCCAATCAATATCTGGATTTAGTCCTGACCCATAAATAAATATGAGTCCCCCAAGATGACCTCCCCGAGGGTACCACCTCGTTTGGCTCTCACCGACCTGCAGCGGAGGGGAAAGATCATCACGCTTGCTATCCAAGCAGCCCAAGTCAACCAGCTGGTTGTCGGGGAAACCTTTACCTATGGAAATCAACTCATTGAAACCCTGCTCGCGCCTCCAGCCAGCGAGCCCGTCGCACCTGTACAGACGGTGCGATATGGTGCCTGGAGCGCCCAAGCACCACCTGCAGTCACGAACGATTCTGTACCTATCCTGGAAAAACTTCTCCTGAGTCCAGAGGCCCCCAGCCATATGAATGGCCACCAGATCAGCCTGCACCGAAAGTTCACGTCCCCGAAGCTGCCTGAGTTCCGCTTTCACAAGATCCAGAAGCAAAACCTTCCCAACCAAGGTGCTTGGCGGCCGCCTGCTCGAGCTGCCGCTTGATACCCATATAAATAACAGCTTTGAGAGTGGGGATCCCAGTTTGATGGAGGTCAACTTGGAGCCCACGGGGATCTATCCACACATGATACGACCTTGCCGTCCACCCGAGGCGCCTAAGGGTTTGGACGACGGCCCCTGCAGGGCCTCGCACATATCCCCAACCCTGCTGGGCCCTTGATAAGGCCCGATGGAATATCTTCTCCATCATATTTGTGGGAACCCATTCCTGGTGCAGCGCCAACGCCCAAGTGAGCAGCGGGAGCGAGTTCACCTGGAAGGACGGATCTGCATATGGAGGGTCCGTTAGCAGAAACTGTACGGCTCGCGAGCGGCCCTTGGCCTTGCCGAAGAGCGCGAAGGCCGAGACTGCCCTCAACTTCTGCAATTCGCTATCTGACATGCCCATGACCCGCACTCCGTACGTGGCCGAGGCTACACCTCCTGCTCAGCAAACACGTGTTAGACCTTTACGATGATGTTTGAGGGCCCGAAAGCGATGTGCACGCTTCCTGAGTTTACTGATCCTGGACTTCTGCACTGGTTTACCTGCCCGAGCCTGCATGCCAAAGTCGTGACCTAAGATCTTGACGCTGGTGCAGACCTTGAAACAATAAGCACGCAGATCTTTGCCAAGTTGCACAGCTAACTCCTTGGTAGAAGCCAGCACCTGACATTTCTTGCGTGATACCACTTGCTCCAGCTGCTGCAGCTGCTTGCGCAAGTCGGGGACCGCAGCAGCTAAAGTCTGTCGAATGAAACGTGCCGAACCGATCGCTTCTAACGTTATGCCGTCTACCATGACATATAAGGATACACTCGGCCACCTATCACGCATGTACACTAAAGAGTCGTACAATACCACGCGCAGCAGCGTCGTCGCAAAAGAGCAGCCGGCTATAATCGACCGAGTCAAAATGATAACCGACGGGACGACCTCCCTCACTTTGATCATCCTCCGCCCCCCGTACACCTTCAACAAAAGCCGAGCCCGTCTTAAGACGAAACTGTGCTTCTGGCGGGACCTCCAAAGAACATAGTGGGGAATCTTCTCATAGCACTTCTCTAGATCTATCAACCCTGACCCCGAACGAGCCGCGATAGATTCTGCAGCTTCGGCACGCGCCGCCTGCTGCCACACTGCGCGCTCGCAACTCTTGCCCTTGCCGCCGTGCACGCAGCTCAGGGCGTGGTCCCGCTCCCGTTGGTTGGCCTGATCTCGCCTGAGTCGGCCAAGGATGCGGATGCAACTTGTCGGCACTCCTATGGGCA